GCCCTTCCCTAGACCCACACATTGCAGACTCGCGGCAGAGGCAGAGGAAGCGCCCCCACACAAAAAATAAAACAAATATAAGCTGCGGGACGGGGTGGGTTAAAAGAGGGAAGAGTCATCGGCAGGGGGAGGGCAGAGGCAGGGGCCGAGTGAAGCAGAAGCAGAGTGCGACTGAGAGAATGTAAAAATAACAACAAAAGCTGCGGGACAGGGTGGGTTTAGCCACTGGAAATTAATTTCTCCATTGTGGCTATAATAATCATCCGATCGGATCCCAATTTGGTGATCTGATAGATATGGCCATTCACTACGGAATGGCGTTTTTAGTTTTCTTTTATCTTCAAAATTGTAGATTTGGGAGGTTTTCGCTCTTTTGCGAGGGCGGAAGGGGGCGTGGCTCATTTTTGAAAAACACTGGTTTCAGTGTGAGCATACAGCAGTCCGGAGCCAAAATTTGGTGGCTCTAGCTCTTATAGTCTCTGAGAACTAGCCGACAAACAAGACGGACAGACGGACAGACGGACAAGGCTCTATCGACTCGGCTATTGACGCTGATCAAGAATATATATATACTTTATGGGGTCAGAAACGTTTCCTTCTGTGCGTTACATACAACCGTTATTCCCCACAAATACAATATACCCTTTTTACTCTTCGAGTACCGGGTATAAAAAACAGCATCAAGACCTAAGACTTTATTGAGCATTTTTTTTTGCTTGCGCTGCGTTAGCTAATGGAGCCTTTGGGCGGCACAAGCACAAACATTTGAAGTGAAAGACAAGCAAACAGAGCATGCATTTGTCATTAGCAGCAACAAGATTGCAAGTTGCAAGACCCCTCAACTCTACGCCATGGGGGATGGGCAGCTTGGTGGCATTGTAATGCTCGAACATAAGTCGTGCAATTGCATTCGCTGTTCGATAATAATTTATGCAACCTGTTGTCGCCGCACTAAGCAAATGTTTAAACTCATGTATAGTCTTGCCTTTGCTTTTGATTTGCTTTTCTTGTTTGCTCTGCTGCTTTGCTGTGCTTTGTTGCATATTTGTTGGTTTTGATTGCTGTTTGCCCAACTTTGCGAAAGGTGTCGAATGCACTGGCCAGCGTCAATTGGAACGGTCCACATCGTTTCGTAAACTATAAACCAGAGCAGCAACCGGTGTCACCTCCTCCTACTCTACACGGTCCTCCTCCTGCTCTGGTGTCTGGGGCATAGAATGTCTAATAAGCATTCGCCTGCCACGTCTGGCCATCTAATTAGAAACGCTGATTGTGTCCACGCGGTAGACTGCTGCTCTACTGAAGGGGTGCAATGGGGGATTTGACTGCCAGAAAACATATCCAAATGACAATCCCTCGGAAATTATATCGCTCGAAACTCATAAGGGCATACCCTGTTCTTTGAATTTATTTTACAGATTGATTTTACAGCCTTCTAAATTTTCGTGAAGACAATTTATTGATCAAAAACAACTTTAAATAAATTTTAAAATCCACGCGTAGACAATACGCATTACAATTTCAGATCATTTTTCTCCATTTAGCTGAAATTACCAAAAGTTACAGAAGGGTATGGGTAGATTTGTATGTACATTGTCCCATGTCTCATCTAAGTGGACTTTGTGTGTCACTGCTGTGGAGCTCATTAAAAACGATTGAAACTTCCGCAAGTTTCGATGGAGGAATGAAAGAAGAAAACAGAACAACTGCATCCAATCCAAAAGCCAAAAACTACTTACTGTACATGAGTTTGAGCATGATCCCGACCGAAATGAACCGAACATATCACAATCACAATCACAAAGCTGAAAGTGTGTTTGTGGCACACACACACAGAGTTGGTATCGGTAAAGCAGTTCCCGTTCCCGTTCCCTACCCTTTGTCTTGCGGTACGGGGATTACTCATTTTGTGGTCTTTAATTTTGTTCCTCCATAAACAAAAACCCCGAAAAAGCTGAACGCCGAACCAAAAAAATAAACCTGACATATGTATACACATATCGGACCCTCTGTCCACGAGGATTTGCATACAAAGTCTCTTGTGTTTTTTTGATAAACAAAAAGATATTAATTGCTTACGCATACGATATGTATACTCACAGTCTTATTGGGTGCGAGGCTCGTATCTGTGTTATGCTAATGCAGGAGTTTTAGCTGATAAACAGGCATCGACATGTCTCTGTTTGGGTTTGGGAACTTCTCTGTCAGTCACATTGTAATCAGTGGAAAATACTCAACAAATGGCATATAATAAATCGATTTATAAGAGGTTAAAGGTCAGCACTGATGAATTGCCATCTGACTAAAAGAGAGAGTGTCATACTCTCTACATACATTCTTATTAATGGTCAACCATGCTCAAGCAAGGAAGATGTCCGCCCAAGAACTATTTCTATACATAGTTGTAGGTGAATGTTAGGAGAATAATGGAAGTAGAAGTAAGGACTGGTTGAGGAGAAACAAACTAAACGTGATTTTGGCCCGATTTGGGTCGAGAATATTTACTTAGCAAGGTGATAAATAAACTGATCTGCTGCTCCTCCCTCTCGCTCAAAGCTAATTTGCAGCATTGAGCCAGAGTGTACAATGAAAAAAAAACAATTGCGACAATAGCACGAAAAAACAAAACGGCAATAAAAATAAATCTGTAAGGCAGTAACAAAAGGAGGCAAACCCGACAACGATTCAGCAGGGGTAATGTCAGAATACAACAGCCACAGTAAAAATACAGCGAAAACAACAGTGAATAAAATGAAATTTAGACGAGTGGCCGTAGAAAACCGTAGCGCAAAACCGCTTACGTGACGACATTACGTAAGATGTTGGCCACCGCCAGAGGTCGCCACCGCTGGGGCTGTGGGATGGCACGGATTTCAAATTTGTGTTTGAAATTGATCGCCACAGTGGGTGTTGTTTTGCAGCGCTGTTGTGTAAATTGCGGGAAACTAATTTGACAATTGTCCGGAAAGAAAGCACATAAGCAACTACAACAAAAGGGTGAGCAACCCCCCACCCAAGTGCAAGGTCAACCAGAAATACTCGCCTATCGGTATGTACATACAACCCCACGTATTTTCCCATGGGGGAGGTATTTTTATTCATCCAAGTAGAGCTGCTCGTCTGGAAATGAGTATGCTGTGGTTCAGACAAAACTCGTGTCGCACGTCATGCAGCAGCGCCCCTCAGTTGGCGTTGCCACTAAGGGTAACTACGAATTAATGAGTACCTAATAGCTTTACGACTAAATGCCAGGAAGTCTTACGACTTGGAGATACAAATTCAAATAGGATTCCATGATCCAGTCAAAAATTGTTTATTTTTGATATACATATGTATCTAAAGCTTACCCTGAGACGTGCCATTCCCACGTTTGTGTGTACGTTTTGTTCTGCGGAATGTTTAAGGTAATGTATTATATCCAAATAAAAATTCAATTCAATCAATTTAGAACTTTGACATTTGTCGCTTAGATAGAGACAGAGAGAGCGAGGGAGCTCCGTAGTTTTCATTAATATATGAGAATATACCCATTTATATTCCACACTTGGGTTTCGCCTTTTCTTGGCAATGCCATGCCGTAATATTTATACGATTGTATGTATCTATGTATGTACATACATATGTATTTATTTATTGAGGGCAATTGCAGCGCTTAATTCAATTTGATATGATACCCGTACCCGTAATTTGCTCAACATCTTCGCAGCACTCCGCATAGCCCCAGTGCCAGGCCCAGACCCAGCCCAGAACCACCACCACCCCCTGCATGGGGCTATGGCATTGCCTTACTTTCAGCATAAATTTGCAATGTTTGTATAATTGTGAAATTGCTGGAATACTCACAAGTCGCGACCTGGTCACCGAATCGTTATTACAGCATACCGTTGAGGTGTTTGTCCGGAATGCGTCGCAATCCGGAAAGGGGAAACAATTGCAATCAGTCTCCGGAACAAAACGTAGATTGAGTATTAATGGATACAAAACTAATCAGGCTATCCATATTTATTAGTGCTATATCCATAAAGGTTGTGTCTCTTACGTATGTAGCTATAAAGTAGCCTTTTTACGTTTCTGATGATAAGTAAATACAATTTTGTGTCCCAGCTAAAGTGTCTTGTTACCTTTACAAATACTTCACAGCTTAAAAGTTCAATTTTAGAACATTTTATAAATTTAAACTTGAGCTGAGTTTATCCAGAATAAAAAGTAAAAATTCACCAAATTAGCCCCGATAAATGTGATTTGTATCAATTAACATAATGTAAGCGTTAAATCACGGAATTTAATGGGAAGTTATTCGCATTTGTTTGTGGCCAAAGGTGTAAGAATAAAACCAGAACTCTGACCAGGTGGTACAATTTAAAGATTGGATTTTACCTCCCCTGATATTTCGCCACCTGTTGCTAGAAATCATCAGCTTTGCTTTGAGTTTTCTTTTTTTCACACTCCTCTCTGATAAGCTTTGAAAGTTTCTTGATTCTCTGTAGAATGAAAGATGGGGTAGCCCCAGGGAAATCTCACGTCAGCTGCAGTTACATGCATACATATAGAACAAAGTTCTGATGATATTTCTTGTGAAGCAGGCAGGTGGGTCAAAGACCATTAGCACCCAGAGATCGTGTGGAAACCAGTTACGATGTTTGCTGAAAGTCAACAAGTTTCGGCAGGTTCTCGTCAGTTAAAATGTGGAACCGGCCTCCACCTTTGAGAGAACCTTTGAAGTGTCGACAAAAGTTGTTTTTTTTTTATTATTTGTGTATTTTGTATTCTGTTGTTTGGTTTTGTAATTGCTTTGGCGCACCCTGATAAGAAAATGGTCTTTGATTTCTCTTGTTTTAATCTGTCATTTATTTCTGCATGAAATGGAGTTGTTCTTGAATGAATACAAACGATAAATCTTAGAAACAAATCATCATGTACTCGAGTAATTTCGTACAATTATATTTAGGCATAAGAATATGGAATTGAAATTGAAACTTAGCCTAAAATGACAAACATTGATTTTTTTATATATTTATTTTTTGATTTCTTTTCGATTTAAACTGTCTTCTAAATATTGCCTTTGAGTCTTTCATTTGTTGCTTGTCTTTTCCATTAACTTACATTTAGTTTTTAATGTATATATTTTTTATTTTTTCTCTTGTATAAATATATAGCTTTTTCTCCCTTGCTCTTCGCTCGTGTATGGATGATTTCTCGTGAGTGTAAAAAAAAATTGGGCTAAACTATATAAATGCTACCAAAAATATGCAAAAAAAAAAGAAAATATTAAATTATGAAAAATTACTATTACTAATTTCTGGCGAAAATTGCTAAATTATATGTGTAAAAATTGAAATAGAATATTTAAAATATGTATGCGTGTATGTGTATTGTATATTATTAGTGTTATCAGTAGGGTTCTCATTATGCTGGCGTTTCTTTACTATTTGTAAATTATTGTTATGTTTTTTTCATGGATATATAGTGTATCCGAATGATTTTTTTGTCTCGTTTTTTTTTTTAGATGTCTTAATCAATGATCACAACTCTTAGCATAAATATTACTCGCATGTGGCATTCGTAAATATATATTGTATGTCTCTTCGTATGTATAAATATCTGTGTAATTGCTTATTAAAAAATATATTATATATGTCTGGATGTATAGGTATATATCTTTATCCCATAACTTAATTCGTTAGCAGCTGCTCCTCGACATATACATACTCGTACAATATAGAATAAAGTATAGTTGAAATGTCTTTTGTCCTGTCTTTTATGGATTTCGCCCAGGGGGCTTATGGAGGCTTTCGGAACATACATACATATATAAATTCTGATTGTCGTGCGCCTTCGGGGGAGTAGCCCCCAGCCCCTGGAACTCGGCTAGTATTTGTTACATTCATTTGTGTACTATTATTATTCATATTTCATATTTTCTCTTGTTTATAGCAGTATACGTTTCGCCACCACTCCAACTGCATCTCTGGCTAACACCCCGTTTTGCATCTATCCCATTTTAAGCATGGAATTCGTTGATATGTGTTCAATTAGCTCGTCATTAGCTCGAAAGGCCTCATCTACATTGACATCCAGCGACTTGGAGCGTCCGCATCTTAACCCAATTTCGGCTGCGTGAAACTATATAAAAGAAAAAGAAATACAATTAATGGACTTAAATCATTTTCTTGTAGGAAAAAATATGTATATCATTTTTAAGATCAATTACAGATGAAACGTTTTTGGATAAGATTCAAAAATTCGTTGACGTTGCTTGTGATGGAGCTTATATGCATTCATGATGTGGTATAAATCTAGAAATGTATATTATACATATGTACATCTTTCTATCTTACATCATTTGTCTGAGCATTCTCATATTAAACATACATGGACATAAATGCATTAAACGAGTTTTTCTATTTCCAATCTTGATATTTGTAAATATCTCAAAGTAAAGAAATTGTGCAAAATCATCATCTGTATGTGCATCTGTATTTGAATCTGTTTCTTTTCCCTATTTCTCAATACATGTGCGATGAATAAGAATCCCACAACTGTTTTACTATCATTACAGTCCATTCAAAAAAACAAAAAAACAAAACAAACCTGCAACTAAGGGAAGCAATAAATCTATAAATCATACTCGGAACATGCTCCACTGTTCTCAGATATGTATGGAATATGTATGGATTTTCATTGGCGACGAGTAAGGGGCATTCTTCCACTCGTTCTCATGCTCTTTGCTAATTGAAAGCAATTAATGCAATTAAAGTCTCATAGAGAGAGAAACCAATTATGTGCGTGAGTAGTAAATTTAATATGAACGCAAAAAAAATAACATAATGAAAAACTAGTCAAGTTTTCCGACTATTGGATACCTGGATCTTTAGTTTAAATTCACTAGTGAGAAAATTCGAAGCCAGGTTGAAATTTAGAAATACTGAAGGTATGTGCATGTATTTCAATAGCTATATAGCTAACAAGATCAAATGATAGTCCTATTTTATGCATCATATCTCAGAGTTATCTCAGAGTTGAAGATCTTGTCAATGATTGCGAGGTATTTAGATGTACTACAAAACAGAAAACATTTAATGGAGAGCAACAGCTTTTCGCGTGTCTGTTTCTCATTTCATTCATGGTGACTCGTTCAGGCAAAAGGCTGTGTAGGGCCATGTGGTTCGTTTGGGGGGAGGGCGTTGATTGAATGTGTAGGTGTGTACAGGGTGTGATAGAACGGTGCGGTCCGGTACGGTCCGAGGCAGGTCCATTCATTCATTCATTGATATCCCAAATTGACGGCCACACATACCTATGTACATATGTACGATACACATATGTACGATACATACATGTACATACATACATACATGTGGAGAGGGCAAGAACAAAGTTTTCATTCGCTTATTTGTTGATTATGATGATCATCAAAAGCTGTTGAGGCTAAACAGCGACCGAGAGACCCCGAGACGAATTGTGTGTTTGTGTTTTTGCTATCATTAATGAAACTACAGTCCGGTACGGATGCGGACACGGACCTAGTCTGGATCTGAGATCTTGTGATCTTGTGATCTTTTCTGATCTCCGAGCGAATGAAAATGTGTGCTAATTGCAGCACTTTGTCGCCAATCAACATCAACATCAGCACTCAACAGTCTAAACAGTCTCAGCAGCCTCTTTTTTGCCCGAATGTATTGTACGTACGTGTATCTCTGTTGCTGTGTTCCCTGTATCTGTAGCTGGTATCTTATCAAGTTTGTTCCTTTTTTGGGGTTTCTGCCTCGTTCTCTCTCTCTCTCTCTCTGCTGAGAACCTCGCTTCTTTCGATTAGATAAGTACAATACTTAGTTGAAGCAATCACGTACGCGACCACACATATTGCCCAACTTCTAATTGGCATTGCATGTCGTCTCAGAGAACGGAGAACCGAGAACGAAATGTGCGCAGACATTGAGCAACTAAATGCTGATTACGTAGCTGACAGGGAGACATTTGAGTTGAGTTGAAGGGCAATGTGTGTGGCAGCTCCAACAAAAAACGAGAAAGGACGTGTGAGACGCTTCTTACGCGTCACAACTTTTATACCCGGCACTCAGTACTACATCTGCACCTTAGCGGTGTTATGTCAAATTTTAAATTTTTTCTTCATCTGTCCTCTACATCTACAACACTTCTCACACCAATACGCTCCTTTAGCTTTCCGGGCTTCCCTAGACCCACACACTGCACTCTCGCGGCAGAGGCAGAGGCCGAAGCAGAGTGTGAATGAGAGAACGTGAAAAAAAAACAAATATAAGCTGCGGGACAGGGTGGGTTTAGCCACTGCAAATTAATTTCTTAATTGTGGCCATAATAATGATCCAATCGGATCCCAATTTGGTGATCTGATAGATATGGTCATTCCCTACCGAATGGCGTTTTTAGTTTTCTTTTATCTTCTTGTAGGTTTGGGAGGTTTTCGCCCTTTTGCGGGGGCGGGGCTCATTTTTTTAAATACACTGGTTTCAGTGTGAGCATACAGCAGTCTGGAGCCAAAATTTTGGTGGCTCTAGCTCTTATAGTCTCTGAGAACTAGCCGACAAACAAGACGAACAGACGGACGGACGGACGGGCAGACGGACAGACAGACATGGCTCTATCGACTCGGCTATTGATGATGATCTACTTTATGGGGTCGGCAACGTTTCCTTCTGTACGTTACATACAACCGTTATTCACACAAATACAATATACCCTATTTACTCTTCGAGTACCGGGTATAAAAACACACACATTAGAGATGGAAGCGAGAGCGGTAGAGAGGAGAGAAAAAAACGGTAAAGATGGTAACGAGATGCATAGGGAGGAGACAAATTTAACTAGAGATAGATAAGTAACGGATGGTCAGGGATGATTAATTCGGTAAGTAGAACCATCACAAATCAATATGAGTTGAAGACACATTTTATATGTATGATACACGAAAGTGATGCTTGGCTAAATATTTATTGATTGGACTGCAGTTAAAGTTTCGTAACGAACAATACAAGCTCTCACAGTACGCATACAGCCCACCGGTTTGGACAGGTTCGACCATCCACAGGGTAGCCGTCAGAGAAATGCCAAATGCCAGATGAAGTCGAAGTCGAAGTCGAAGTTGGCAAGAATCTTTTGCCTTGCTGGCAATGATCTTTCCAGCTACTATCCGCTGGTCAAACTGGTTTTCCCTGTCCCTCATGTGTGTCTTTCTGTGTGTGTGTTTGGTAGTGGGACAGAGCTAGAAATAGCTGTTGCGCATGCGCATTTGCCGTCTCGCTTTGACTGGAAGGGAAATCAAGTGGAGACCCAAGCCAGAGCCGGAGTCAGAGACAGAGCCGGTTGTTGGGCTGCTTGGGTTACGCTTAAATGAGCGCGTAAGACCAGAAGAATTTCTCTCTCTCTATCTCTCTATCTCTCTCTTTCTCTCCCTCGCTCTTGTTAAGCCTCTCGGTGTAAAAGTGCTTCTTTGCTGTATTGGAAAACATAGTTTTTTATTGTCGTTATGAAGATCTCGCTTAGTTCGTTCGCTTGTTAAGACTAAAGATAATGGTAAAAAAAAAAATGGTGGGTGTGTTGGTGGTGTCTTTCGGTTGTTTGAAAAACTACAATCTACGCATGGATGGATGCATAATCGTTGTCATAATCCAAGTTTACAATCAATTGAAAGGTTTATCAACTAAATCACTACGAACTAATGTCTTTCTTTTGCCTTAAGATCGATGGAGGGTTCGGTTTTTTGGGTTTTTTGGGAATTGTAATGGAAATATATGTAAACGTTAGGGATGGAGCTTCTTTTGAGAGTTTGTGTGTAGAGGTGGGTGTGTGTGTGTGTGTGTGGGGGACACTTACTGGCACTCTGGCACACTGCCACGCCCACTCCTTGAATGGATGAGCACCCCGTTCTTATTCTCGTTCTCGTCCTCGTCCTGGTCTTCCATCTTCATCTTTGTGTTGGTCTTCGCTTAGATTTTAGGCATCGAATGGTCGCTTATGAGCACTATGCTCATCTTCCACCATTTCGCGCGAGAGATCGGATATCACCTCCTTGTAGATGAGTGGATCGATGTTCTTTCCCAGCTGGTAGAGCAGGAACCAGTCACCGATGTTGCACTTGTTGGCCACCAGCTCGACCTCCTCGCTCTCGGCCAGTCGGGAACGGGCGCGGAGGAGCAGGTGACGGAGCTTGGGGCCGACAACGACGGCGATGCGATAGATCAGTGAGATGCCCGACAGAATGCTGAGGATGATGAACCAGAACCACAGGAACACGTAGATCTTTTCATTGACAATGTTTAACGGCAGCACGCACAGTCCGTCGAACTTCTGCACATCGCCGGAGGGACCATATTTGTGGAACGTACATTTGGTCACTTTTGGAAAGACCCTCGCCATCGGATCGATACGCTCATCGGGCTCCATTTCGGTGAACTTGAGCACATCGCTGCCGTACGTGCTGAACTCTCCGTCGAGGAAGAAGTCCACAAAGTAGATCTGGCCAATCACATTCACAAAATTGAGGGCCTCGCAGACAAAGAAGCGGAAGGCGTAGAAGTTGTGCCGATTCAAATTTCCAATGAAGTATTCGACGAGGATCTTCTTGCGATCGTTCTTGCACTCATCGTTCACGATCGGGCTGTTCAGGTCCATGACGAGCATCTTGAGGCGTCCACCCTCCCACGACTTCCAGAGGTAACGCGGCACGTAGAAGAGTATCGCCTGGAAGAAGAGCACAAAGCACACCCACTGGTAGTACTTGTGGTACTTGACCGCATCCTTCCCCTCCACATGGGACCCTACGCCAGGCTGGACCACATCTCGGCCGGTCACACCGGTGAGACGTTCCGGCACCGTGAATGTCGAATAGATCCAGCAGTAGGTGTCCATCACACCCAGCGGTATCTCGTCGACGATGCAGTCGATCGGATCGCCGATATACTGGCGGGATGTCACCAGCAGCGAAAAGGCGATCAGTATAATCACGGTAGCTTTGTAGTGCATCCGGAATACATTGTTGTCGATGCACACTTGGTCGATCTTCAGCAGCCCCTTAACGGAGCCGAATACATCAAACATTGTGGAGTTTCTGTTGTCTCGTTGTCTGCGTTAATGCTCTTGTTTTGGTTAATTCGAATTATTTTACCGTTCCGGTCTTACTTTGATTGATTACCGTGTTGTTTGTCGTTTACGGCTTTTTGTTGCTGCTGCTGCTCTTGCTTATGGCCTGCTGCTCACTTTTCCAACATAACTCTTCAGTCTCCGGCCCAAGAATAATGCACATCAAGCGAAAACAGTAAAAAAAAATATTCTTAATTCGTGTGGCTGTGTGCGTGTTTGATTATTTGATGGTGTGCGCCTGCGTCTGGGTCTGGGCACGATCAACAATTGGTCTTGGATTTGGTCACACAGGCGCGCTCTGGTTAGATCGATCCCCCAGCGAGCTTTCGGCTTCGGCGGAGTGTCTTCGGGTGCGCACGCTCTCAAACACACGACGGACGACGCGACACAATCGTACTCGTTAACTCGAACTCAAACTCAAACGAAAAGCGCGGGCGGTCGGGCGGTGGTGGTGGTGGTGGTGGTACTGGTACTGGTGCTGGTCTAGGCGGTAGCGTAGCGGCGACGACGAACGACGACAACGGCGACGGCTGGCGCGGTGTTACCCAGGTAGTATAAAACGCCGACACAGCAGCGGGCACTAAAGCGTACACTTCGGATATCGGTTTTCGTCTGAGCTCTGAGCCCAAACTGGAGGGCAGTGTTTTCTCTGTCCGCGTTCCGTTTTGCCAAGGAGAGAGAGGGCAGAGCAAGAGCGCGAGCCCGCTCCGCTTGAGTCATTTCAGATGCTCTCTCATGTGCTGCATTATCGTGGCTGGGGGAGCGACCACCAAACACCCAGTTATGCTGTACAGATAGAGTGTAAGAGAGAGCAAGAGCGCGGCGCGTGAGATTCGTCGGGCAGGTAAATTGTGCTGTGCTATGGGGTGGATCTTGTTTGAGTCGCCACTCAATCTCTCTCCCGCTCAGGCCAGACTTGTACTTGCTCTTATTTATGAAAGGAGAGGGACAGAGAGAGAGAGAGAGAGAGAGCTCGTGCTAAACATCGACATGGAAGCTGTGCTCCCAAAAAGGGTGACAATTCATTTAAGTTGGATGATGGGATATGGGGAAGGGTGACTCACTAGTGATGCCACCACATGGTGGTCCTGGGAAGTTAAACTAAAAGAAATTACAGCAGCTGCAGCTAATTATCCCTCGACTCCCATCACTCGAGTGATGTGATGGCAGCTAGGAATGTTACTTGTGTATTAGTCTGGCAACGCCACCGCTCTTGATGTTGCAAATGCAGTTGAGTTGAGCATCTCTGTCGCGCTTTGTCTCCACTCAGCAACAGCATCTCATTTTCCCATATTCAAAATCTTTTGTTTTGATGTGTTTGTGTGTTTGTGTTTGCGATTGCGTTGCAGGGCGACAAGTTCTTGGAACCCGTCGTGCAGTACAATGGAGTTGGTTGTGTGTGGATGCTGGAGTTGTTTGAAGTTGGAGTTGGGGTTGCAGTTGGAGTCAACAAAGAAACAAGTAACCAGGAGAAATATACATATGTATGTATACGTACATACATACGGAGATGCACAGGGAGCGAAACGGATGGAGCGAGAGAGCAAAGTTGAGACAAAGGCTAAGAGAGGATGGAACCCGGCTTTCACTGCATTTCTATATTACCTAAAAACACACACACCCATACAGACTTACGCTGATTATTTCCAAAGATGTATTTACCTGTGCGTCCCATGCATTGAGAATGGAAGGAAACGTGATTAGAGTGACTCTCCCATGATATGCTACATACATTTTGCGGGGTTTTCCATAAAACCATGAAGAAACTATAGAGGAGGGCCCGTCGTCGGCAGCGTTCCTCGGGTCATTTCCCCCCAACGACCGTGCTGGAACGCAAGTATGAGCAACTTGTACTCTTATTATTGTAAAGATTCTCTCTCTCTCTCTACACGCTCTTTCACTCGCACTTAATGACAGCATTGTTACGTTTCCCATTTAAAAGCAGACGGGACCTCCTTTATAGTAGCTTCATGCCTGAAACATAGAGACAGTCAGACAAAGAGTGAGAGAGTGAGAGAGAGAGCGAGCAAGGCAGAGCCTCGACGACTACCTGTTACACTCGTTCTCGTTAATGTTGCTCTCCTTCTCATTGTTGGTATTTTCACCTTCTTCTTTGTGTTCTTTCGTTTGCCTGTTTACCTGTTTTCTTTTTTCTTTCAAGTCCGACACCATCCATAAATTCCAAAACCCAGAACAAGACGACCCATCGTTAGGGTCCCCGGTCCGCGACACTAAGGAAACTATCTTGAGTTTTAAATTAAGAAATCCACTGGCTTATCTATACCATAAACGGTGTTATATATCATTTTTAAAAATGTTCATACATACAGATGTAGTACATGGTGTGTACATATGTATGCAAATAGTATATACCATACATTATATACCCTCAAGAGCGTTCATTCGATTGTACAAAATAATTAAAACGTATTCTCAATGTCGTAATAGCTGACGATAGTCGTAGACACTCTATGTACTACCCAGTATTAGCTGGAATGCTGATAAGAAATTATAAGGGTGCTCTTTCCTGACATCACAGCTTCAAGATCTCGACAGATCTTTTATAGAGAGGCAACTAAAGAGAGATAAACAGTTTAGAATCATTTTACTCATTTATACATTAAAAACAACTATTATATCAAGGCCTCTACTAATCTAATCTAAGATCATGGAACCACATTTTAATGTATTTCGTTTTAAACACTGAATTCTGTAAGAATAGCTTAACTTTATAAGAAATTTGGAAAAATGTACATAGAAGAAAATCATTTTACTTAATTATTTGTATTTTCAACATCGATTATATTTACATTATGCCAAAATTTACTCAGTTTAAAACTCCATAAAAGTTTACTTAATCTTAAACTTACAACCCATTGAGACTAAAGTAAGGCTCTGGTCAAAATACATTCAGCACTTTAACTCCTAAACAACTTCATTAGCCAAAATTTTTGGATCGAATTCGTTTCAGTACGCCCCCAAACATTTGTTTGAAATTCTGCGTGCGTAGTGCTGGAAGAACGGGGGTAAAACATGAGAAATGAGTCCTCCCATTGGGCGGTTGCCAATTAATAATGATTGCCGTCAACAACCTGAGAGCCGAGCCAATAAAAATCAGTTATAAAACCATTAAGTCGATACACATGCGGGCACATGAGTGAATAGAAGATACAATGCCGAGAAGGCTACTGTCCGGGCTATAAATAGCACCAGAAAAACCGCAACGAACCGAATCGAAAAGCAAACCCGACACCGAAGCCTTAATTGTCTAAAGCCCGTGTATAAATCAGATGGAATGGGATGGTCCCTATCCCCCATTCTCAAGTTTCGCACAAGTGTGAAAATAGTTTCGCATAAAACTCGTGAGATTTGCAAAGAACTTCCAAAAATGTGAATCTCCCTTTGTCTTGGTTTTGCAAGCCCGAAAGAAGGTCTCAAGAGAGACAGACTATAAATGATCCTCTTTCTCCCGCTCTCTATTTGACTATCTTATATGTAGATACTTGGACACACTCGTACTTTGGGCGGTGTCTGCCTAATCAATTTAAAATGTCGGCGTCGCTCTTGTGTGCCGCACCATCATTAAAGCCAACGGAATCAAGTTCATTTCGCATGAATAATTGGCAATAGGTGGCAAATACCCCAAAAAATGGTTTTTGAATAAAAAAACACTCACAAAAGTAAACGCACCACAAAGCTGAGACATTTCAGATACCAAGCTTATGACCTTATCTAATCACAGGACATTTGAAATATTATGCAAAGAATTCTTCTAATGAAGTTACCAAAAATAACATCCTGAACTATGGATACGAGATTCTTACGTGTGTACCTCACAGATCAAAGCAATCGGAAAGATTTCTAAGGAGGCACCCGTGGCTCGACATACTCCCTGTCTATATTCTGGTGCGGAATCAAGATCATTTATACTACCCGCCTGATCAATGGCATTCTTCGTCTGCAGAGCGTTGTGCAATTTGTATGAAACATAAACTCGTACTTTCACTTTTTTAGCAGAATTTTGTTGCAACGAATGCGAATTCAAGTACGAGCACTCCGTGGTATCGTTTCTGTGGATAGACGGGCATTGCTTATGAGGTGTAATTGTATCTGTGGCTGAGGGTAATGTGTGTTGATCGCCTTGCTTGAATGGTTTGAATTTCAACATCATTGCGGTTTGCTTTATTTAAATTTCAATGCGAAAATGCCACAGATAAATAAATACATATGTATGTATATCTACGAGTTTTTGGCAAATGTGTTAATGAAGCGATTCGATTGATATTTGAATATGATTCAATGAACTTTCGCGCAAAACGAAAACAATTTTCCAATGAAAGCCGAGAACAGGAAAAGGCAAAATCATAGCCAGTCAAGCGTCTAAAAATGTGGCAATTACTAACACGATTTCAGAGAGAGGCGGTAAGAGTGGGAGTGGGGGAAGAGGAAGGGAGTCACTGTTCATGGTTACGCATTCCCATTCCTATTCTCGTTCCCGTCTCTACCTGTACGGCTGTACGGGTATCTTATCCGGCAACGTTCGACTCTTAACCGCTTAAGTAATAAGCACAAAATATGACTTCGTCGTAGTTGCTGAGCTATTTAGATAAGCGTCAGTTAAGATACAGATAGAGATACATATAAAGTATGCTGACACTGATAGTGTGGGAATCTCAAGCAACATTCCAATAAAAAAAAAATCTACAAAAAAAGTATAATAAAACAAAACGAAAAAGAAAGCACAAACTCATACAATAAAATGGAAAAATGAAGAGCAGACCCTGACTGGTTGTCCGTCTACAGATAAGATTGTAATTTCATAGAAGATTAAAGAGAACTGACGTATGTAGAGACAAGACCTCCACCTGTCCCACCCAAGAGTCACGTTATGAGTTAGGAGTTATGACGAACACCGATATGAAATCTTTTTTCCAACGCAAACAAACGCGTTATTCCCATCTTAAGTTTAAGAACAACAACAGTCTATGGGCTGTGTTCTATGTGTGTTCGTCACTGATCTGGGTCAACAGCTACATTCCCCCCTAACCACTGGGCCACATTTATCCACTGTCGTTTGTCCGTCGATCCATTAGCATAGACAACATTGAATCGCAATTGCGATTGATAGCGGCGGCCCTCTGATGCGGAGAGCTCTAGTTTACGGCGGAAACGGAGCTTCACAGCTGGCACGAATAGCAGCTGATTCATGAGCTATTCAAAAGGAAAAAATTCATTTTCACTACGTCATTCGATTCCACTTTCATACTTTAGACGTTCATCATCGTCTCGAAATGTTCGTGGCAAATGTATGTGTGTCGTGTGCATTCGTAGGGAAAGTATCCATTCGCTTATGTGATATTTGCACAGCAAACAAAAAAAATTACAAGAGGAGCATGCACTTATGATCATTTCCTTTCCGTCAGTTACTCTAAAAAACGAGAAGGGACGTGTGAGACGCTTCTTACGCGTCACAACGTTTATACCCGGCACTCAGGACTAAATCTAGATGTAGAAGACATCGCCAACCACTAGACATCGTTCACATTACAGAACACGTAGTAAAAGCCTACTAAATAAAATGCATCAAACAAATTGGATCAGTTAATATTTTCCAATTTATGAGATATTTAAAACAGCAATAAAATTGGTACATTCTTGGACCGATAGGTTTCACAGCAAATTTTTCGAAAGTGGCGCCATCTAACGTTCAAAACCGAGTCTTGGTTAAAAGTCGGAAGAGTCAACGCCAGGGGGAGGGCAGAGGCAGGGGCTGAGTGAAGCAGAATCAGAGTGTGAATGAGAGAATGTAATAAAAAAAGAACAACAAAAGCTGCGGGACCTCCATTGTGGCCATAATAATGATCCGATCGGATCCCAATTTGGTGATCTGATAGATATGGCCATTTCCTACGGAATGGCGTTTTTAGTTTTCTTTTATCTTCAAAACTGTAGATTTGGGAGGTTTTCGCCCTTTTGCGGAGGCGGAAGGGGCGTGGCTCATTTTTGAAATACACTGGTTTCAGTGTTAGCATATAGAAGTCTGGATGCAAAATTTGGTGGCTCTAGCTTTTATAGTCTCTGAGAACGAGCCGACAAACAAGACGGACAGACCGACAGACGGACGGACGGACAGACGGACAGACATACATGGCTCTATCGACTCGGCTATTGATGCTGATCAAGAATATATATACTTTATGGGGTCGGAAACGCTTCCTTCTGTGCGTTACATACAACCGTTATTCGCACAAATATACCCTACAATATACCCTATTTACTCTTTGAGTACCGGGTATAAAAATGGATTCTTGTTGACTAAAACATTTTAGACATAGTAATCGGAAAATCCCATTCCAAATTCCTCTTTTTTGTGGGTCTTGGGGATATCTTTTTACGTGTCTGAATGAAATGGTGATCGAAACAAGATTAGTTTAATTATTTCTGCCCTCATGTCATTGCGTGTTCCAAATTTTCGGTTCAGCTGTTTTCGTTCATGATTCAATCATTCAATGTGGATCAAATTTAGTCGTTTTTCTTTAGGGATTTTTCATTTGGAAAAGGGAATCTAACAATTAATGAAAGGTCTGCCAGTCGAAAAAGTACGTCCATAGAATGGAATCTTTATGAAAGGAAAGAGCATCATATTCCTTTGTTACTTTGCTGCTACTTACTTGGGATTAAACTCTTGGCTCATTCGCTTTCGATTTTCTCTCGCGCCGAAGACATTTTGATCAGGAATTCCACCTGCCAGCTGTAGGTTCTACTTGAGCGAGTAACATTCGATAAGATAATCAGTGAGTGGAACGCTCTTTACCCAAAAACTCAATTAGGCAGCGGAGTTGGCTCTTTGGGCCGCAGTCTTATCGAATCTGGGAGGCTCTTTTGGGTGGGCCTTAGCACCAAGAGAGCACCACTTGAGGCTCCCTTCCTGATAACGCCAATCTGACGCCTACTCTCCCAGGCGGCCAGTCCAGCGCGTTACCGTAGTCGAAACAGTTAGCAATTCCCCGACAGTGTGCGGACAACAGCAACGTTTTGAGGAGCTAGGCCACTGGCACACCCAACCCTCCGACAGTTCTTCTCCGAGAGAAAACACCCCTCCCGTAGTGTAGTGTAAACGTAAGGTTACAGAGCTAAAAGGTGAAACTAGAACTAGATAACAATGCTGAACACATTCAGCTCGGTGAGGCAGTACCTTAAGTTCGATATTACGCGTGTGATCATCGACAATATTGTCTTCAAGCTGCACTATCGCTGGACCTTTGTGATCCTGCTGGTGGCCACACTGCTGATCACATCCCGCCAGTACATTGGCGAGCATATTCAGTGTATATCCGATGCTGTGATTGCACCAGTGATCAATACATTTTGTTTCTTTACGCCCACTTTTACTGTGGTAAGTCAATCAGAAGCCAAAAGTCAGTAGTCTTAATTGGGGTCACCAATTGGTGACCATCTGACTGCATTTCGGATTAATTGGAGATCTGCATATGGTATTTATGATTTATAATAGTAATAAACTTAAATCTCTAATCAGGTGAAGCATTACAACAATACAGCCCTGAAGAATGGTGAAATCTTCTCGCCTGGCATCGGACCATTCAATCAAAACGAGGATAAAATCAAGCGGCATGGCTACTATCAGTGGGTGCCGTTTGTGTTGTTTTTCCAGGCTCTCTGCTTCTATGTGCCGCACTTTCTG